GAGGCATCCAAGTTGAAAAGGAAGAAGTAAGACTGCCATTATTTGCAGATAACAGGGTACTGTATATAAATAACCCTAAAATGTCCACCAAAAACTACCAGAACTGATGAGTTCAGTCAAGTACCAGGATACAAAATAAATATTCAGATATTATTGTATTTAACTTTTTAATTTTTGATTGTTGTTCATGTACAGTTGCCTCCATTCCCTGCTGCCACTCCTCAGCCCCTCATCCCTCTCCACCCTACCCTCTTTGACTTTGTCCATGTGTCCTTTATACATGTTCCTTGATGACTTTTCCCATATTTTCCCCCATTATACCTCTCCCCCCTCTCCTCTGGTTACTGTCAATTGATTTTTTTCAATGTCTTTGGTTATATTTTGCTTGTTTGTTTGTTTTCTCAATTAGGTTCCCAATCCAAAAGAACCTATGTACCCCAATGTTCATAGCAGCACAATCTTCAATAGCCAAGTGAGGGAAGCAACCTAAGTGCCCATCAGTAAATGAATGGATCAAAAAACTATGGTACATTTATACAATGGAATACTACACAGCAGAAAGAAAGAAGGAGTCCCTACCCTTTGCGACAGCATGGATGGATCTGGAGAGCATTATGCTAAGTGAAATAAGACAGGCAGTGAAAAACAAATGCCATATTTTATCATCTGTAAGTGGAAACTAATCAAGAAAACAAATAAGCAAGCAAAACATAACTGGAGACATTTTTATGCACCAGTAATATAGTATCGGAAAGGGTAACTAGGAAGACAATCCCACTTACAATTGTATCAAGAACATCTAGGAATAAATTTAACCAAGGATGTAAAAGATCTGTACTCAGAAAATTATAAAACAACAAAGGAAGATACAAATAAATGGAAATATATACCAGGTCAGAATTAACATAATTAAAATGTCCTTACTACCCAAAGCAATCTATGGATTCAATGCAATTCCTATAAAAATACCAATGGAATTTTTTTTACTAGCACTAGAACACATAATCCAAAAATTTATATGAAACCACAAAAGACCTGACATAGCCACAGCACTCTTGAGAAAGAAGAACTAAGTTGAAGATATCACACTACCTGATATCAAACTATAGTACAAGGCTGTAGTACTGAAAATAGCATGGTACTGGCATATAACACACATGCATTAGATCAATGGAACAGAATACAGAGCCCAGAAATCAATCCACAACTACAAGGTCAATTGATCCATGACAAAGGAGGCAAGGACAAAGACAGTGTATTCAGTAAATGGTGCTGAGAAAATTGAACAGATACATGTGAAAAATGTAAATAGAACACCTTCTTACATAAGATACAAGAATAAACTCAAAGTGGATTAAAAACTTAAATGTAAGACTCCAAACCATAAAACTCGTAGAGTAAAGCATAGCCAGTAAAATCTCTGACATTTCCTTTAGTAATATATATATTTTTTGACATCTCTTCAGGCTAGGGAAACAAAAGAAAACTAAACAAATGGGACTACTCCAAACTAAAAAGTTTTTGAAAAGCAAAAGAAACCACCAACAAAATGCAAAGATAACCTCCTGAATGGGAGAGGATGATATGTCAATGATACATCTGATAAGAAGTGAATATTCAAAAATTATAAAGAACCTACATAACTCAATACTGAAAAAATACTAACGATCCAATTAAAAATTGGCAGAGAACTTGAACAGACATTTTTACAAAGAGGACATACAGATGGCCAATAGACATATTGAAAGATGTACAACATTACTTATCATCATAGAAATGCAAATTAAAACAACTGTGAAATATTACTTCATGCCCGCCAGAATGGGTGTCATCAATAAATCAACAAACAAGTGTTACAGAGGATGTGAAGTAAAGGAAACTCTTATGCACTGTTGGGAATGAAAATTGGTATAGTTGCTATAGAAAATAGTATAGAAGTTCCTCAAAAAATTAAAAATGGACCTGCCTTATGACCCAGAGAGTCTACTTCTATATATACAGGGTCCAGCACAAATAATGCTCCTTTTTTATTACAAAATCTTTTATCACAAAATCATAAGCACATAATTCTGTAACATAACAATATCACACTTAAGCACACCATATGACATTTTATTTTTTAAATATATTTTATTGATTATGCCATTACAGTTGTCCCATTTCCCCCTTCATTCCCCTCCACCCTGCACCCCCCACCATCCCCCCCTTTAGTTTATGTCCATGTATCACGAGTTGTTTAGATTCTATTTTACCATACTATTCTTGCCCTTCCCCCTATCTATTTTCTACCTATCGTCTATGCTACTTATTATCTGTACCTTCTCCCCCCTTCTCCTTCTCCCACTCCCCTGTTGCTAACCCTCCATATGATCTCCATTTCTATGGTTCTGCTCCTGATCTAGCTGTCCTCTTAGTTTGCTTTTGTTTTAGGTGTGGTCGTTAATAACTGTGAGTTTGCTGTCCTTCCGGTGTTCCTATTTTTTATCTTCTCTTTCTTAGGTAAGTCCCTTTAACATTTCATATAATAAGGGCTTGGTGATGATGAACTCCTTGAATTCGATCTTATCTGAGAAGTACTTTATCTGCCCTTCCATTCTAAATGAAAGCTTTGCTGGGTAGAGCAATCTTGGTTGTAGGTCTTTGGATTTCATGACTTGGAATACTTTCCAGCCCCTTCTTGCCTGTAAGGTCTCTTTTGAGAAATCAGCTGACAGTCTGATGGGAACTCCTTTGTAGGTGACTGTCCCCTTCTCTCTTGCTGCTTCTAGGATTCTCTCCTTCATTTTAATCTTGGCTAATATAATGATGATGTGCCTTGGTGTGTTCCTTCTGGGGTCCAACTTCTTTGGGACTCTCTGAGCTTCCTGGATTTCCTGGAAGTCTATTGCCTTTGCCAGACTGAGATACTTCTCCTTTATTATTTGTTGAAGTAAGTTTTCCATTTGTTGTTCTTCCTCTTCCCCTTCTGGTACCCCTATAATTTGGATGTTGGCATGTTTAAAGATGTTGGCATGTTTAAAGATGTTGGCATGTTTAAAGATGTCCTGGAGCTTCCTAAGCCTCTCTTAATTTTTTTTGAATTCTTCTTTTTTCATTCTTTTCTGTTTGGTTGTTTCTTTCTTCCTTCTGGTCCACTCCATTGATTTGAGTCCCAGTTTCCTTTTCCATCTCTATTGGTTTCCTGTGCATTTCCCTTCATTTCACTTAATTTAGCCTTTATTTGTTCATTAATTTGTGATGAAAATCCACCAGTTCTGTGAGCATCCTGATCACCAGTGTTTTGAACTGTGTATTTGATAGGTTGGCTATCTCTTGGTCACTTAGAAGTATTGGCTCTGGGGCTTTGAGCTCTTCTTCTTCAGCCATAATGTTTTGGTCAGGTCTTGCCTGTTACGTATGAGGGGTGGAGCCTTAGGTGTTCACCAGGGTGGGGCAACCCAGTTGCTGGGTTGTGAGGCTGTATGTGGGGGCGGGGTCAGAGAAGGGCAATAGTGGTCCCCTCTGCTGCTTCCTGCAAGGCGCTGAGGCCTGTGTGGTCTGTCTCACTGCTTGCTCCTTTGCCTGGTTTATCTGCGCATGAATGTGTGACCAAGGTCAGCCTGCCATCCTTGCGCCCTCACTGGGTCTGCCCATTGCCACCCCACACCTGGGATCTGCCAACCACCGCCTGTGTGCCTGGGTTGGTCTGGCCACTGTTTTCCTGTGCAACCTGTCTCCACCAGCCGCTGACTCTGCCGCTCTTACAGGTCTGGCTGAAAGGTTCATTGTTGTAGGACTTCCATACAGTTCAATTTTCTGTCTGTTTTGGTTGTGTTTTTGTTACTAAATCTTTGTTGTCTTTAAACTTGGTTGTGCGAGGAGGCACAATGTTTCCACCCTACACCTCTATCTTGGCCGGAACCATATGACATTTTAGATGAAATGTTCAAATTAAAAGTATAAATTATTACACCCATGTTATTACCCTACCAACCACACTTAAGCAGGCATTTCTTCTGCCAGAGCCCGTATATCAGAAGAAATCCAAGACACTGATTCAAAATATTGTAATATATCTACTCCTATGTTCATTACTGTATTATTTACAGTAGTTCAGATATGGAAGCAACACAAGTGGCCATCAATAGAGGAGTGGATAAAAAAAGTTGATATATATATATATATATATATATATATATATATATATATAACTAGAACTAGAGGATATTATGCTAAGTGAAATAAGTCAGTCAGAGAAAGACAAATACCATATGATTTCATGTATGGGGTGGGAAAATAGTAGGTTTACAGTTATGCTGTGATTTTTTTGAGTTAATAAAGCTATTGTAATCATTGTAACCCACATATCTTTTTCCAGATACACAACTGTATATGGAAACAATACACAATTTGTAAACCAAATTTTGCCCCCTTGTATATTTGAAATCTAAAGTCAAAATGAATGAAGAAACACAATAGGAACAGACTCATAGATACAAAGAACAGACTGATAATTGCTGGAGGGGAGGTGGTTGAGGGCCTGGGAAGATGAAAGGATTAAGAACTTCTGATTGATAGTCACAAAATAGTCCCAGGAATGTAAAGTACAACATAGGTAATGTAGTGAATAATATGAACTATGTATGGTGCCAGGTGGGTGCTTGAAATGTTGGGGAATCATTCTGTAAAATATGTGATTATGTGACCACTATGCTGTATACCTGACACTAACACAAAATAATATTGAATGTAAACTGTGATTGAAAAATAAAATTAAATAAATTATATAAAAAAGAAGTTTGAAGGCCTGGTCTCAAAGCATGTTGAGACCATTTTTTGGTAAAAGATGCCTTGTATCACAATTGACTTGAAGGAGAAGCAGGGCTCTGCAGTGTTTGCTAGAGGGCTGTGCTCTTCTATACCACATTGGTTTCAGTCAAGAGAGGATTGGTGAAATGTCCTGGTGATCATCACAGTGCAAACCAAGCAGGTAGGTGTTTCATTTCATTCCCATTTCTTACCTTTGTTTTTCTTCTTTGATTTATGCTGCAGAGAGGACTGCTGAAATGTCTGAAATCAAAGATAAGGAAGAATGTTATCTGATAGGGTGCCATGTGGAATATCATCATGGTATGCAGAACTCTCAAGACCTGAATGATAACTCTGAAATCTGGTTGGAGAAACTATTTTCTTTTTCCAAAGTCTCAAAAAAAATCATATATATCATGCTGCTCAACTTTCTAATCTCCTGGGAAGCAGGAGAGGATATTATTTTTGTCTTTATTTTGTACCAGAGAAATCTGGGCACAAAACAATAGTAAAACTAAGCACGCATATGCACAATCCTACTTTGTACCTGTTAAAGGAGTTTATTGTGCTTTCTCAAGCAATATCTCATTTGGTTCTCAGAAAAATCTTATTAAGTAGGCAGGCAAGTATGATTTCTTTTTGTTCCTTAGAAGTTCATTCTATTACATACACCACTATCACCTTTTGATCTCTTAGGTACCCCTCCTCTGCCACTAAATATTTCAGCACTTGGATCATTATTTTCATCTCACATCCACTTCTCTTATTAGTATTGGTGACTAATCTTCATGTAGGGGATGTCAGAACCTTGGGCTCCTCAGTCCCTCATCTCCAATGATCTTTATTTCTCCAATCCTTAGCTACCCATTACCATGATCATGTGCTTTCTAAAGTATACTCCAACCACTGCCTACACTCTCTATGTCTTACATAATGCTTTCAACTCAGCAATTTTTAAAAAGTCTTCCTTTGAGGTGTCCAATTCATTGACCTCACCGCCCTTTGGTGCCTTTATTTCTCTTCTTCCACTTGGTTTCCATAGGATATCATTATAATTATTCCCTTGATTCATGCTCCCAGCACCATACTCACCTGGTTAAACAACCATCTCAGTTAAGCCTATCTTTACTCCATGTTAAGTGATGCAACAGTTTAATGTCTTAATAGAAAATCCCACAACTGCATTGAATGGTCTAGCCTTCAATTAATGACTCTAAATCACTGGTTCCAATCAGATAGTCTAGTAAGCTATATTGTTCATCGGTGTAAATAAGGTTAATTAGGTTCATATAATTAGCTAGTTAGTATGGTACAGAGATAGCATGTGTAATTTTAATTCATAGATAATCCTTTAAAATGAATTTTAGGCAACAGGTTCTTTTCTTTTACAAAGATATATCTATAAGAGGCAACAGGATTTTGTTTACATAAAATTCACTGTGTTGGCTTTATAGAATACATTTGTATTCTGTGACATAACTTTCTTATTTAGCATCTTTGCTCATAAAATAACAGAATAATATTATTACATAATAGTTTTCTTGTGTTCGTATATGATTAACACAATTTTCATGAATATAATATTCTGAATGGATACCATTCCTAAAGATAGGGATTAGATAATTTGCTGCCATATGGTGTGATCCAGAAAGAATCACCCAAGTGTCAAAGCAAGTGTCAAGTGTCTGTGTGTGCACATGCCTGTGTGTGTGTATAATTTTGAAGGACTCAAGACCACAAAAATTCACTTTGGAGAGAAAGCATAAAAGATAAAACACACACTGTGCTGATTATCTCGAGTGTACTTTGCTTGAAAATAATAACTCAAATAATAACTCAGGCTATTGTGCTTACATATAGTTAATTTACATATAGTTATTTTCCCTAAATTGTTTGGCTGTAAAATTACTGATTGGGTTTCTTTTTTTCTTTTGTGTTTCCACAAGTAATCATTATAATTTTACAGCTTATTATTTTTAAAAATGACAAAGATGGGGGTGGTGTGTTTTTAGGAAGCTACATGGATAACAGACAGCTTGAAAGAATTGAGTTATATAATATAACTCCTATGCTTCTTGTGTGCTATTCTTTAGAACCTAAAGGTCTACTTTAAACTCTACACAAAAACATATTTTATGCTCTCCAGGCTTTTTTGCTTAACAAGATTATCTTTTCTTTCCCTATAAATATATTGTCATACTGATTGTGATGGCAGAGTATAAGAAGTACACATATTGTTGAAGTCTAAGAACTTCTAGGAACACAATACAGATTTACCCATCATTCAAGGAAGCAAAGCCTCAGATGCCTTTTGTAAATATCATAAATATTACAACACAATTATTTTTAAGAGAGATTTCATTACTTTTCTAAGTAATGTAACATTTCCTAAAATGAAAGTTATAACTGAATTATATTAATTATAATCATGTAAGTGAATTATATGCTTTGAAAGTAACAGCAAAAGTAGTGAAAGCTACAGTCAAGGAAATAGGTCTTTATACAGAAAAGTTACTATAGGAGGTCTGAAACTGCTATCTTAGAAGGACCTGTCTGCAGGGTGACATCCCTTGGCTGACATCTGGGAACTTGGCTGGTAAAGAGTTCCCTATACCGACATGAGGCTCCCCTAAGTGATAAGCTGGTTTTGCCCACCTGGGGAACTAAACACCTGTTTTCTTTTGGGGGGGTCTAGTATTTTTATAGTTGGTAGGCAAGGGGTTCTTATGTAATCAATCCAATAACATCTTTGGATGCTGTTTTTTTTCAATGGGCTTCCCTGGGCAGAGACAATTGACATATGTGAATGCAGTTTTGCTGCTGTGGGGAGAATGTACTCTGTGTGACCATATGTGCATGCACGCACATGACAGAACTTAGAGCATAAGTTCATATTGTTTATTGATGATCAAAAATACTTTCCTTTGATAAGCATTTATGAAGGTAAATTCCATCTAAAATGTAGTTTTATTTTATATCCTAAATAATAATTCAATAAAATCTAATGAATTCATATCATTAACCAGGACTTCTGGGCTGAGCTGTATAGGCTGACTGACTAAACAGATTTTATACAAAACTGAACTAATGTTACCAGCCTTCAAACAAATCTGCTCCTCTCCTAGTCTTTTATACCTTAGTAAATGGTAATTCCATCTTCCCCCTTCCCACAGGCTTATATTCAGAGTACATCTTGGAGTAAACCTACCCTTTTCTGTCTATTACACCTCATAAGCAATCCACCAGCAAGCTGTATCAGCTCCATCTTCAAAATATGTTTACAATATGATTTTTTTTACTACCTATACTACTAGCACCTTGGTCTAAACTATCATCATCCCTTATCTGCATTACTGAAATATTTCCTCACTGTTCTTCCTACTTCTGCTTTTACCTCCTTTGTTTTTAAGATAAGAGACAGGATAATCCCTTAAAAATATGGTTTGAATAATATTATTTCTCTACAAGAATTCTTTTTTTTAAGCTCTAAAAAATATGAACTCTTTATTCTCAACCTTTGCATACACTTGCCAGGTAAGAGAAATCAGAAACTGTCAGCATACCTAAAATTCTTTAACGTTTGACACTTCCAATATCTGTTGGCAACATCCCCAAGATGATGTCAGCTCCTCGTACAGTACAGAGCATTTAATACTCCCCCGGAGCATCTCACTCACTCTGCACGAATTCTTCAGTGGCTTCTCATCTCACTTTGAATCAAGGCTCAAACCTTCCCAATGATCTTGAAGGCCCTGTATAACTGCCCCCTGTTATCTTTGCCTCTTGTCCCTACCCTTACTAACTTTGCTTCAGCTACAGTTGCTATTTCTAGATCATGCCAATTATAGTACCATCTTAGGTTCTTTTACCATTGCTATTCCTTCTGTCTGAAGTGACATTTGCCCAGATATTGTTTTGGCTTCCTCCCTTACCTCCCTCAGGTCATTACTCAAATGCTTCCTTTTTAGTAAATTCTTCTCAGACTTCCCTATCTAAAATTGTTATCCTCATTGCCCTGAACACTTCCTGTTTTATTTTCCTGCTTTATTTCTCTCCTCAGTATTTGGCATTTTCAAAAGTACTTATATTTCTTGTGTATTACCTGGCATTCCCTCCAAATATAAATGCATGAAAGAAGAGGAATTCTGTCTATTTTATACACTGTTTTATCTTCTGCCTAGAATTGGGCCTAGCTCAGAAGAGATGCTCAAGAAATACTGGTTGAATGAATATAAGTTAAGTAAACCATCAGTAAAGAACATAGGATGTAGCCGTTTTTTTTAACCTGAAGAAGTCCTTCAGCAGACAACAAATAAGTTAGGTATCTTTTCTCCAGTAATGCATTTACAGAATATTACTGAAAACTCTGTTCTATATTAGGCCATTTCTTTGGGTGGATAATAAAAAGTTCCTTTTTTATCGAACCCCCCCCCCCGTAGCATTACTTGCATTGGGATTGTCTTAGTGAACTTGACAGTTTAAATTTGAATTCAAGATGGGCTGGCTAAAGTACATTAAATGTATGTCAAAAGATAATTATGCAGATAATTATATGATGAATTATGAATGGATGTGTTGAAATCATAATTCTGTCCTCAAAAATAGAATGTGCTAAAATAAAGGGCCATTATGAAAGTATTGTTGATCCTCTTGTTAACTATGGTGATGCATGCAATGGTATTCTGTTTGGCTATAAATGATCCCTTTTTCAGACATTTGCCTGAAAAGACCATTTGTCTTTCATTTTGTCCACAGATGTTCTGTTCAAACTTCATTCCCCCCTCTTCTGAATGGGGATGTATGGGGGAGGGTAATTTGGGTCATTCTTATCCTGAAACTTTCAGAAGCACTTATTTTAATTGTGGAACAAAATGACAGTTTCTGTGTTACATTTTGAAAGCTCAGCTACTATTAAATTCTTCTCAAGTTGCAAATTGCGACACTTATGGGAAAATTTGCAATCAAAATACTCTCTTGTTGCAATATAGCAACTTCCTCTTACTGTAATTTTCTGCGAAGTTCCAAGATTTCTTCAGTGACTAGTCAAACCAATTGCTTATTTCTTACACATTAGAAAAGAAGGTGATTAGCATTTGAAACACTTGGGAAAAATGATGGTTACTTTCACATATTTAATTTTTTAATAAACAAATAAACAAAAAGCCTTTGAAATTTAAATATTTCACAAAGGAATGTATTTTGCCTTACTTTCTAATTATTGTATGTCAGCAGAAGAAAAATCTAAACATGAGCAAGTAACA